GAGCCCCACGAGGCCCTGCCGTACTCGGTGACCGAGAGGACCGTGGACAAGTCCACTGGTAAACCCACCCTGTACAACGTGTCCCTGGTCATGTCTGACGTGGCCAGCACCTGCCACTGACCCCAGGCTGCCCCTCAAGGGTGGTCCCGAGCCTCTGGCTGACCTGTCGCTGTGTGTGCATGTATGCAAACTGACTGTGTCAACGGGTGGGGTGTTGCATTCTATAAAAACTAGAAATAAAAAGATCCATTCAAAAGATGCTGATCCTGAGTGAGCAATGCTCTTGCCTGCTGGGGCCACGGCTGTGCTGCCCCCACCCCTGCCTCACCCCCTGGTATCCCACTCGCCGCTCAAAGCCCTGAGCCCCTACAGAATGCTCACAGCAGACAGTGCCAATGCTCCCCGCCTCTCCACTGCTGCTATGGGCTCACAGGACATGGGTGTACAACACACATGCACACATGCACACACAGAGACACATGCATGCATGCACACAGACATATATATGCACACACAGACTCAGATACATATGCTGTGGACATTGGCACACAACACATGTGCACACATGCATGCATGCACACAGACACATGCCCAGATATGGGCACACACAAAGGCACACAGGCACCTGGACACAGGCACACACAGTGACATGCACACACATGGGCATGGACACAGACACATATATTGTGAACATAGGCAAACAAACACATGTGCATGTGCACGTGTGTGCAAAGACATAGGAACATGGGTACATATATGCACACATGTGCATGTGCGCTGGTGTGTTCACAGTGTCACATACATGCATGCACAGAGACACATGCAAAGATATGGGCATATGCACAAAGAAGCACACAGGCACACATGCATGGATATACACACATGAATATGAACAAAGAGACACATGCAGTGGATGTGGGAACATGGAGACATGCAAAGACATGGATACAGACACACAAATATCTACACATTCATGCACACAGACACGTGCACACTCATACACACATGCACACACATGGACACATACACACAGAGGCACAAATGCACATGGATGTAGAGACACACGTGCAATGGACATGGGCACACTGGCACATGTACACATACACACATGAAGAGGCATAGACACATGCACACAGAGATACCTGCACATGCATGCACACAGACACACACAGTTAATGCACATTCATATACACATGCACACACAGTCGCATACTCACATGGGCACTCACACACACGGATGAATCACGGGTGCACAGGTGTACGCTGACACAAGAACACATTTGCACAGGCGCATGCACATGCAGACACACATGCATATGCGCACGGACACATACACACATGGATGTCCAGCCTGTGCACCCTGGTCACTCAGTGCCTTTTTCACACGCCTGCCTCTGCACCGCGCTTGCTGCAGGGCTTCCTGCCCACCTGCTTGTCCTCTGTCTCCCCTTGGAGGTGCACCCAGGGGCCAGCCCAGCCCGGACTCTGACCAGGGCACCATCCCAGGCCCTGGGCAGGGGCTCAGGGGGCCACCTGGCGGGCGGGCTGCAGCTCCTCGGGGCCACCCCGGCCCTGTCCAGGCTGTTGATGAAGGAGCAGGACCTGCACCCGCCTGTGAACAGAAATAGTCGGTGTGTCCGGGAGGCAGGGAGGCTGATCGGCAGGCTCTGCCCTGCAGACACCTGGCCCTGGACACACCTGGTGGGGAAAGAGACCCTCTGCAACAGGGGGCGGGGGGCACAGGGGCCCGGGGGACAGCACTGCCCCCTGGACCACCCCCTAGACACCCATGTTCCTGGCCCTTTGGGGTCTTGGGCTCCAGATGCTGCCTCAAAGGCCCATCTGTGTTGGGCTCCAGACCCCACTGTATGTGTCCGTCTGTCCAGCCCAGCCTCACTCTGCCCAGAGCCTCGGGTGTCTGTCAGATCTCTTGGTCCCAGAGATATGATTCCTAGTGGGGCAGACAAGCCAGCCAGGGCCCCCCCCG